GGTGAGTTTGTGGATGTGTGTGCAAAATTTCAAGTCATTCGGACGTCGTTTGGTAGGGTTTTTGATCGAATGCGTGTTTCGGAAGTTCTTGAAGAACTTAGGCTTGAATCCGATGTGAATTGATGATTTTAGTGTTGTTAGGTGTGTTTTGATGATTGGAACAAGTTTGGATGATGTTTTAAGTCATGTAGGTGCTTTTGGTTGAGGTCCCGGGGGCCTCGGGTGAGTTTCGGATGGTGAAACGGACCATTTTGTACCTTAAAAGTTGGCAGAAATTGCAGGCTTCAGTTGCAAGTATAATTGCTCAATGTGATCGCAAAGGCTCAATTGCGATCACGTAGAAGCTTTTTTGGAGATGTCCATAATTGTGCAATGCGTTCGCAAAGGGGTGAATTGCGATCGCAGAAGGTTAAGGGGTTGTTTAGTGCGAACGCAGCATATTGTTCGCGATCGCGTAGCTCAGCGGGTCTGTTCATCGCGTTCGCACAAGTGATGAGTGCGATCGCATAAGAGGAATTTTGAGGGCTGGAATTTTGTTCTTCGCGATCGCGTGGAGTGTTCCGCGATCGCATAGAAGGAAAACACCCCTGGGCAGAACGTTTTTTTAAAAAACCAGCTTGTTCGCGAAGGTGGGTCTATTTTCACCCATGGCTGCTCGTTTTTGAAGGTTTTTGAAGGAAATCAAAGAGGGTTTCAAGGGGAATCGATTGGAAGTAAGATTTTTGAACTTAAAACACGATTATATTGTGAAATTGGTCTAGAAATTCATGGAAATTAAGCCTAAAATTGACGAACTAGGGCTTGAGTTTTGATATTTCGAATTGGGATTTGATAGGTCCTTTGAGCTCGGATTTGGGAGTTCTTGGTATGTATGAACTCATGGCGAGACGAGGAATCCAGTAATGTGAGTTTTGTAATTTTTCAAGAAGTGGGCCCGGGGCTCGGGTTTTGCTAGTTTCGAGATTTTTGCTATATTTTGATTGTTTTCGATTGGGCATCGTTCCCTTGGCATATTGTGATGTATTTGCTCTAATTTTGGTTAGATTCGACGCGCGTAGAGGCCGATTCGAGGGTCAAAGGCATCGCGAGCTAGAGATTCCACCGGTTCGAGGTGAGTAATGCTTGTAAATGATATCCTGAGGGTTTGAAATCCCGGATTGCACATCGTAGTGCTATATTGAGGTGACTTGCACGCCGGATAGTGGGCGTGGGGTAGAGCACCGCTGGGGATTGTGACTTGGTCCGTCCCGATTGATTAATTTACCGCGTATTGGACTGGAATTTATTTGTTATCACTGTTGTTTGGGCTGATTGCCGTATTTGGGCTTCGTGCAAACTATTTGAACCATTCGGGGATTATTTACACTGTTTTGACTTATTACTTGAACTCAGTCATACTGTTTCTCCACTACGTTACAACTCAGCCACTTTTACTCAGATCGAGTCTTAAATGATAATTTAAATGATAATTTGGGCTGAGGACTACTATTTTACTAGTGCCCTAGGGGCTTGTGATGATATTCTGACTGAGTGGGGCCGAGGGCCAGATGTGAGGATACACTGAGGGATGTGAGGCCTAGGGCCTGGATGTGAGGATTATATATGGATCGGACTGCGCGCCGCAATAGTATATTATATGGATCGGACTGCACGCCGCAGTAGTATATTATATGGATCGGACTGCACGCCACAGTAGTATATTATATGGATCGGACTGCACGCCGCAGTAGTATAGTATATGGATCGGACTGCACGCCGCAGTAGTATATTATATGGATCTGACTGCACGCCGCAGTATGTACATATTGGATCGGACTGCACGCCGCAGTGATATAGCGCTTGGGCTGTAGGAGCCCCTCCGGAGTCTGCACCCCCACAGTGAGCGCGGGTACCCATATGGATCGGGCTGCACGCCGCAGCGAGCTATGGATCGGGCTGCACGCTGCAGCAATATGTGGATCGGGCTGCACGCCGCAGCAATATGTGGATCGGGCTGCACGCCGCAGCGGCTATTATGTGATACTGTTCTGAGAGTGATCTGAGAGAGAGAGCCCGAGGGTGAGAGTCTTGTTGAGAGTGAGCCCGAGGGCCTGGTCCAGTTTGAGATATTGCCCGAGGGGCGAACTTTTATGTGCTCATCTTATGTACTTATTTGCCTCTTTACCTGTTATATTGTGGTATTTGTGCCCGAGGGGCGGATTTTCCGTGCTTATCAGCACTACCTGTTTTGAAACCATTTTCATAATTATTGAAAAGATCATTTTCAAAAGAGATTTGAACTGAGCCAAGGTATTTCTAAGATTTCACAGATTTTACTATTTTCTCAGAAAATTGTACCCGGCTTCTATATGGCATGTTGGTTGCTTTACGTGATTTCTTGCTGCTCAGTTATTATTTACCTTTATTACTCATTGAGTTGGAGTACTCACTTTACTCCCTGCACCTCGCGTGCAGTTGCAGGTATTTGTTCATCCGGTAGCGGGTATTGGCTGCGTGGAGGCAGAGTTGTAGAGGTTTTAGCGAGGTGACTGCCACCGTTCGCAGCACCACCGTCTTTCTATGTTATTCATTATTCTTGTTCAGTGTATTTCTAGACTGTAAAGTGGAGATTTCATTCTTATAGATGCTCGTGACTTGTGACACCCCGATTAGGGCTGTGCTGGGTTGTAAATCTGTTAATTAATATCATTAAGTCGTATCTTGTCGTTAATTTGTGTTTAACTATTCTGAAAGAGTCGAGTTGGGTTAGTTGGCTGGCCTTGTCTTCACGAGAGGCGCCATCACGACCGGTGCGAGGTTTGGGTCATGACAAGTCGTTATCTTCAGTGGAATCCTGAATATATAAAATACTAAATTAGTGTAAATCAGTAATGAACATATAGTTACTACAGATTTATTAATTTATGCCCTACAAATAATTTAATCAAAAGAATGAATAATCTAAAAAATATTAATACTGTGTTCATAGATTCCTATAGAAAAAACAAAGTGAACATCTAGAACTTTTAAAGTTATAAAAAAACTACTCCAAATCTGAAAATTTATTCAGAAAGAAATCCTTCAAGATATGTAAGTAGCTTTAATGTTAAAGGACAAATTAGTTATGTATTTACCTCGCATTCCTTCTCTCCATCCAAGACTTGATTATTATTGAAGTCAGGTTCCTATCAAAACTTAATAAATAAATGAGTTTGAAATTATGATTCAAATTATGCAATATAAAAGAAATTTGCAATTTAAATATGTTATGAAGTTTGTGAACAAATATGACATACAGTTAAGTCATCTGGAGGTTGATCAGGACTATATTTGTTTATCAGTTGCTCCTCATCCGTAAGCTTAACAACACTATAAACTTCCTTTTGCAGGTGAATGTTCTCTCTCTTGACAATAACCTTAAACATGAATTTTCTTTGGAGAATATTGTTCAGCTCTACTGGATAGGGATACTTATCAACAACGCCAGTATTCTAGAATGAAATTTTGAGTTAGAATTTTCCAAATAACAAATACGAATTTAATTAGTTGATATACCTCAAGAAACTCTTCCTTCAATTCTTTTGCGGATTTGCCTATGAGAAACATGGTTTCACGGTCCCAGAGCAATAGGGAAACAGATCCAGTAGTATCCATTAACCTAACCTGAAGCTTGTACCTAAATGCACACTTGATTTGAGATATAA